TTTAGCAAATAACCCCTTTTTTACTTTATGAGGGTGTTTGTTTACGGAAAATCTACTAAGGATATTTGTTGTCGTGCCTAAATTTTCACTGCCAACCATAGAGAAGGCAAACAAACGGCCGGCAGCACCAACCGCCAATTATTGGGCTACTCTTTAGCAACGAATAGTGGGACTTACCGTAGCATCATAACGCTCGCCCCCACAGCTAAAAGGGTGCGCAATTAAGCACCGGTTTTCGATCCCGCGAGCCACAGCTTGCGACTCCAACACCCTAACCACCTAATACGAGGCCTGGCATGGCCAGGTGATCAGGTCGCTCTACTCGCAAACTGCGGGTTCGAATCACTGTCCCACTAAACATGCTCGCCCTTTCAGCCGTGTGGCGTTATAATGTGATGGTCAATCCTACTATTCGTTGGTAAAAGAGTAGCCCAAGAGTTGGGTGTGGGTGGTGATGACTAGTTACCTTCTCTCTAGCATTTCACTACTAAAGTAAGGATGGCTGGCGCAAATAGCCCTCGTGTAAATGGGCCTTGAGGTGCAAAAGGCTGAGAAACCCTGGTGTAAGCAATACAAGTTCATGGCGCCTAGCATCGACACAAGCTTAGCCTGCACTATACTGAAAAACACACATCTAATTGATAGTTTGTTCTTTTTTTTTGTTTAGCGGAAAGCCACACAATAGGTTATCTACACTCTGTTCGCCACGGGGAATCGAATACCGGATTTTTGCGTTGTTCGTTTGGAATTAAGCACAAAGCTACAAAATGGGCTATCGGTGCTCTGCCCACCACGGGTATCGAAACCCGGTTTTTAGCGTTGTAAGTCCGCAGACATACCGCTGTGCCACTGGGGGGGGGGGCATTTGCGTTGTAAGTCCGTAAACTTACCGCTGACCCACAATTGGGATTATCCAAATTAACTGCTCAAACTTCTACAAACATGAAACAAGAAAACTCTATGTTTTAATATTAACATCATTTTTGGTGAATCAACTACACCAAGAACTGTGTAATTCCGAGATATAACGATTTGTTTCTTTGTTTTGAATTTCGCGCAAAGCTACACGAGGACTATCTGCGTCAGCCGTCACTAATTTAGCAGTGTAAGATTAGAGGGAAGGCAGCTAGTCATCACCACCCACCGCCAACTCTTGGGCTACTCTTTTACCAACGAATAGTGGGATTGACCATCACATTATAACGCCCCCACGGCTGAAAGGGCGAGCATGTTTGGTGTGACGGGGAT